GAGTCAAGGGGACACACCACTCCTCGCGATAAGGAAGGGCATAAGATCAACATGTTGGCTCGCCGGATCTATGCCACTACAGGTCTCAGCCTCCGTATTTCTAATTATGAGGCCATGCTGGCTCAATATCAGTATTTTCTAATGCAAAAGTTAGAAAATATCACAGTGTCTCTTCCAGACCAGCAAAAAGACCTGACCTGAATTTTCATCAAAGAGGTGATGCAGGTGTCGGTTCAGCAGCTTCCCATGGCGAGACACCATGTCGATTGTGACTCTAGGGCTCTTGTTGGTGCTGTAGCCCTCCGTCACCATGCCTGGCTCCGGAATTGCAACTTCCCGGATGAGACAAAGCGTCGAATTGAAGATATGCCTTTCAGCGGCTCAGGGCCCTTCAGCGCTCAGACGGACCACAAGATGAAGACGATCCATGAGTTGAGGGTTACAGCTCGCCGGATGGAGGTCCCTAATCTGTCTTGCCGTAAGTGGTCTTGGTCTTGGTCTTGGTCTTGGTCCTGTCCGTCCTATAGATACCAGCCCTACTCACAATTTGCGGGCCGACAGCAATTCCAGCCTCGCCAACAGCGCTGAAAGCAACAACAACAGCGCTTCCAGCAGAGCCATCGTCGCCCTGACTCTGACAAACGCCAGCGCCGATGGAACAAGTGAACCTCTCCTCTCCTTCTCAACGCACCTTCCCCTCTTCCTTTTGGGGATCGACTGCAAAGTTGACTCCCCATTTGGGAGTCCATCAAATCTGATCAGTGGGTTTTATTCATCATACAGCATGGATACAGGATTGAGTTTGATACCATGCCCCCGCCGGGACCGATCCGATCTATGCCTCAGTCATCGGTTCTCCTTGCTGAAGTTCAACAGCTTCTTTGTAAAGGGGCAATTCGACAGCTCACATGCTTCGAGGTGCTCCACGGCCTCTACTCAAGATATTTCACGGTCTCTAAGCGTGATGTGGTCTTCGTCCGATACTGGACCTACGTGGCATCAGTAGGTTCATCAAAACCAAGAAATTTCGGATGACCACCCTTCAAAATATTCTTTCGTTGCTTAGGAGAGAGGATTGGTTCACTTTTCTGGACTTAAAAGATGCCTACTTTCATATTACCATCCACCCGTCTCATAGGCGTTTTCTCCGATTCACCGTTGATTCCGACCTGTTTGAATATAATGTCCTGCCATTTGGACTGGCTACTGTCCCCTGGGTTTTTACGAAATGTATGGCCCTGGTGTCTGCACATCTTCGGCTCCAAGGCATCCAAGTGTACCCCTACCTGGATGACTGGCTGATTGTCTTCTCGTCTAAGGAAGGCCTTTGGTCATCAATTCAGACTACTTGTACTCTCTTGGACAATTTGGGACTATGTACTAATCATGAGAAATCGTGCCTTACTCCCTCACAGGTCATCGACTTCATTGGAGCCTGTCTCGACTCCACGTTGGTGAAAGCCTTCCTTCCACAAAGTCGACAAGACAATCTGTCTTCATCGATCCGTCAAATCCACATGGACAGAACTGTTCCAGCACTTTCGGTACAGAAAGTTCTCAACCACATGGCCTCTACAGTCTCCATAGTCCCTCATGCCAGGCTACGGATGAGGCCACTTCAGCTGTGGTTCAACGGACTGTTTCAACCCCAGTGAGACTCACCTCACCGGCTCCTCCACCTTCCAACCTCTGTCCTCCAGACTTTATCATGGTGGACTATGCGGCACAATCTGTCTGTAGGCATCCCGTTTCGTCCGCCTCACCCGACTCTGACCCTATTTACCGATGCCTCCCTTACCGGATGGGGAGCCTCATGTGCCGGTCTCTGTACACAGGGCACCTGGGACTGCCAGGAGATCACCAAACACATCAGTTACCTCAAACTCCTGGCAGTCTTCAAAGCCCTTCGATCATTCGATCATAGTGCAAGTTGCCTCCGACAGCATTGTCGCTGCATTCTACATAAGCAAACAAGGCGCGACAAAGTCCGCCCCCATGGCCCGCCTGGCGATGCAACTGTGGGACTGGTGCATCCCGAGGCAGATTATCCTCCTCGCCATTCACCTAGCCGGTACCGACAACAAGGACGCCGACACACTCAGCAGACAGATGTCGACGGCCCATGAATGGGAACTGGATCGTCAGATCTGTCATTCCGGACTTGGGGCTCTCCAGACATAGATCTGTTTGCCACTCACACGAACATGGTGTGCGAGATGTTCTGCTCCCAAGCTTGCCAAGCTTGACTTACCTGTCACGCCCAGAGGGCATTCCACAAGGGCAGTAGCAGCTTCTTCTGCCTTTGCCACTGGCATCCCGATCCAGGACATTTGCAAGGCTGCCACCTGGACTACTCCTTGCACCTTTGCCAGGCATTACCGCCTTGATGTGCGTGCCAGGCACGATTGTACCTTTGGTCAAGCAATCCTTTCTTCTGTTCTTCAATGACGACACTGCCCGCCTCCAGGTCTGGTAAGCTTGCTAATCATCCATATGTGTGATACACAGAGGCCACGACGAAGAAAGGCAGGTTGCTCACCTGTAACTGTCGTGCTTCGAGTGGCCATCTGCGCATTCACACAACCCACCAGCCGGCCCCGCTCAGTGTCGGTGAATGGGTTTATATGGTCCCGTTTTTCCTTGATACTGGTTCTGTTAGTGTTTTCTCTCTACGGTTCAGCAGGTTTCCTGCAATGTCTCTTGCTCCCGTGAGGGGGCGAACAATCAGTCTCCTGTAGACAGAGGAAATGGGGAGCACTCCGCCCTTTTATACTGTAGCGGGGGAGGGGTACGGAGTTCCCGCCAAAACCGTTAAGCTTTAAATCTTTCCGGCCATAGGCACTGCACAGGCGCAGCACCCATATGTGTGAATGCAAAGATGGCCACTCGAAGAATGACAGTTACAGGTGAGCAACCTGCCTATCTGCTCATGGAAGGCAGTTCCTGCTCCTTCTTGCAGCTTCCCAAGTTCTATGGTAAGCATCTCCTGCAACGTAGGAAGCTGCTGAATGGGATGTTCTCTGTGCATGGAGCTGAGAATTGCTCCCAAAATGAGGATAGTTGCTCAGGGGGCCTCCCCCATTCCTCCTGCACCCCTTAGCCCTGAGGAAAGGAGACTTGGTGGGCTCCAGGGGAAAAGGGAAGATGGAAAAGTTTCCTTCCACTAATCACCTGCTGAACAACACCTGCTGAGAGGTTGGCAACAAGCGGGTAGCCTTCTCAGCAGTGTTCTCCCCACATTGCATATTGTGGAATTTCTCCATAAAGGCCTGCTTGGCACTTTTTTAGTTTCAGATTAGGATGGCCCTGCTCTTGTAGAAATTGAATGGCATAGGAGGAACATGTCAAATGTTTCATCAGGTCTAAAACTATTGGAACCATTTTAATTGTTTATTGCATGTTTATTTTTATATTGAAAGTAATGATACATTTTATAGTATTTCTGTTATATTTCATGAATTGCTGTGAACCACACAGAAGGCTTCAGCTATTCAACAGTATAGAAATGAAATTATCACAATGATAACAATCCAGTAGCAGTGCAGATCGCTGAGAGTCACCACACCACCCACTAAATCCTCATGGGTACCATACGTTAAAAAGAGAGCTGTAGCCTTGCTCATCCTTAGAAGTGATAGCCTATAGGGATGGTCCACAGGAGACTGCTGTGTTATTAATGGCCCAGCCTGGAGCATGCCTTCCATGCTGGGAGGTAGGCATGATAGTCTCAGACACCCACTGCACTTGATATGCCAGATGCGATATCCATCCTGCCTTGTTTTCATCCCAAATTCTATTAATTTGAAAAAGTTCGTGACCTTGTACGTACCATTGACATTTTAAATTATATTGTCTCAAATGAATAATGTTTTTACATGTCTCTTTTGAACTGGGGTTGCTTAGTTTTTACTAAGTCTCTAATGTGTTGTATTCCCTCAAAATATTTAAATAAGATGAAAGTTTAATAGCCTGTTTTTCTTGAATTTCAAATGACTTTTTGTTCCTTTCCTACTCCAGAATTTTAATCTAAAGTATTGCTGAATTTCTTCCTTTATGATGCACTGAGCACAGTCATTTTTAGCAATAAAATATTTCATCCCCAATGCTGAAATTTATCAATGTTTAATGTTCCACTGGACAGTGCTGACTCCATGTTTTGGAGTGCCCCTGGGCAGGACTCCTTGAATGGGCTGCCTTCCTTCACTGAGTTGGCCTTTACACTGCCAGTGTTACCAGATAATCTCCTTCTTCCTCTCTCATGCTTCCTGCTTGTTTGCTTGGCAGGCAGAGAGACAGTGAGCGAGTAGGCAGGGGCATCTGCTACTCTTTCTCCACCATCATCCAAGTCAAGTTGAGAGGCAAGTGAACAAGTAGGTTGCACTGGAGAGGAACTGGTCCGAGGGTCTCTTGTCAGCGGGCCCTTGCTGGGCTGTGTGCCCTTGGCGGGTAGCCCAGATACCAACCCTGCCATTGGATGACCATTAGCTGTGTGAACCAAATAAATCTGATGCGTTGTCTTAGCATTTACTGTTTTGTACAAATAAGTAGTCACTATGTGATTATGAATGGTAACAAGTGGAATAAAAGGAATAGCCACAAATTTATGGGTGGCAGTGTTTTAGTGCAATCTTACTCATCTTTACACAGAAATAAATTATTTATTTTTCAGTATGAACTACATCCTAGTTAGTGTGCTTGGGATTTGAAGCCTCCGTGTATGTGTCCTGTGAAAATGTTCAAAAATTGATCTTTGGGTATTGGACTTCTTTCAGACTGAGCTCTGAATTCTATTTCAGAGGAGCTCTTGAGGCTTCATTTCAAAGGCAAAGGGAGCAGGGCAAAAACACAAACATATATTAGCTTAAAATTCTTAGGTTCTTTTATATTTAGACTCAAGAATTTTAATGATGACATGCTAGCTACTCCAAACAGATATTTCTGAATTGTATGTATACAAAATACCTCTGTCTGCCCTGAGTAAAATTGTCTTTTTGTCATAGGTAAGGCTCTCTGAAGCTCTAGCTAGTCAATACTACCCTTGCATCTGTGTAAAAGAACTGTGGATTCTGCTTATTCATCTGCTTGACCACAGAAATAAAGGATCCCTTACAGAGGTAAGGATTCTTGCATTCCCAGCTGAATAACATTTTCTGGAAAGGCTTGCATTCAGATATTCAGAAATGGAATATTTAGATTTATTGTAAGCCATTCCGAGATGTTCTGTAGGGGACAGAATAGAAAAGCTTTTAACAAATAAATAAATAAATATTAAAATAAATAGATATTCATACACTGACAAATGAACATTCAAAATGGCTTTGTATACCATATGCACTGGCTTGTACCAATGGCACATGAAATTGCTCTGTTCTTTTGTAAACTTGAAAACATTCATTATTCCTTGATTAGGTAAGAAAATAATGTGCAGATTAGTACTCCTGAATGTCTTCAGATCCAAGAGAAAACCACCTTCGCCTTAGAAGTGCGCATGTGTGTCAAGCATATGTGCATGTATGACTGCCTTTGTTTTCCTTGCAGTCTTTTTGGAGCTGGTTGAATAAAATTCTGAAGAATTTATTTGAAAAAAGCAATGGTTTGGAAGCAACATCTGCCTTTGAACTGACTCCATGCAATGATCCATTAAGTTTTAGTTGGTGGATTATAACTCACCTGTCATCACTTTATCACACTGACCGCAATGGACATGTAGATGAAAAGGTGGGTTTTCCTTTTTCCCTTCTTTGAAATTACTTGAAATTGTATTACACCAGCTTTTCCTAATACTGGACTCTTCAGATGAGTTTGACTACAGCTCCCATAATCCCCAGTAAGCATGACCACTAGTAATCCAAGTTTTAGACCAATACACATGGAGGACACTGTTAGGAAATATGGCTAAACCCATTAACTCCACATAGATACTTGAAACATGGAGCCAAAATGCTTGTACATTGTTACTATGGCCTTTAAAATCTTTGCTGAACAGCAGCTCTTCCTGCTGTAAACTACTTTTTAAACTTGGGGAATACTGTAAACTATTTTGATTGTGTGTGTGTGTATATGTATGTGTGTTGTGTGCAGGAAAGAAGGAGAGAAGTGATGTAGTTTGACAGTGATGAAATCAAACTTAAAAGACCAGGTGGCAGACTGGCCTGCTCATGTGTCGTGCCAGCAACTGTGGTAATTAAACCATGATTTGCCAGGTGTGTGTTGTTTCTGCTTACCGTAAACATCCTACAGTCAAAGTACAGTCAGTGTGATATGCAGACTTGCAGTGATTGTTTAAACAACCCACAGGTTAACCCAACAACCCACCATAGATTGTACCTATTGAACATTTGCTAAAGAAATGGAAGTGGCTGGAATAAGGTGTGCATGTGCATGAATTGTGAGTTAAATAACCCAAGATTGCTGCCAAGATTGTGTGAACCAGGTCAACTCCTCATGTCTTTTTTTCCATTTTTCTATTTTTACATTTGAATACAAAATACAAGAGCTCTTTCATCAATTGTGAAGGGAACAAGTGTGTAAACTTCAGCATATGTTTGTTTTCAAAGTGCAGAAAAAGTAGGAGTCCTCATCCTTTCTTGCCTCTGAATAATTTAATACAAACTCATCCTAGCTTCATCTTGGTGAGAGACTTGTATATATTATGCTTTGGTATTCTATCTAATGACAAAATGTAAAATCAGAGGCAGCCTTTTAGTAACAAGACATTTTGGAATACTTTCCTTTTATGTGCCATGTGATTTGCAAATGTATGGATTGTACTACTTCTGCTAGTTACAGAGTGTTGATAGCTTGTACTGTGGTTAGTGACATTTTTAAGAACTGCTGAGCCCTAACAGAAATACCTAGTATTCTCTTCTCAGGAGTAGTATCTCCATTAGTACATGTCATATGGCATGTAACTTTTTTTTCCGATTTATATCCTGCTTTTTTCTTACAAAGGGCTCAGGGCAGCTTACATCATTTTCCTCCTCCATCTTATCCCCACAACAACAACCCTGTGAGGTAGGTTGGGCTGAGAGTCTGTGACTGGCCCAAAGTCACCCAGTTGGCTCCATGGCTGAGCGGGGACTAGAACCCAGATCCTCTGAGTCCCAGTCCCATGCTCTTAACCACTACACCACACTAGCTCTCACTTGCATGGAGTTAGCACAGATCCTTAAACATTATTAACTCAGTATCTCTTTACAAGCCTACACATCTCTCTGAATGTAAATGCACAAAATAGTAATCCAGAATTGGCTGAAAATTGTAGTTTGTGGATACAAGCAAGCGTGTTGCTGCATGTAGCATGGCCATTTTTGCTTGGCTTCTCTTAAGTAACCAGACACCAGCAATACAAAGTTTACTGTTGCATATGAACCTGTACTCTTGGCTTTTCTATCCTTTAACAGTGTAAACTTTGCACTGAGGGGCTACAGCTGTCTTCTGGATCCTGGTTTGTCTGATACATGGCAAGCCAGAGTCTGGATTTGGATGTTATTCTAAGCTTTCTGTGGCATTACTTTCTAGTTACTTCAGTCTCTGCTACTTACAGGAGGAGCCATGATCACCCTGGCTTAGAATTGATTTGCCAATAATGCGGGTTACCATTGTGTTCGAACTTTGCCAGTGTTCATAGTAGCATTGCAGAACCCAATTTTGTGAATTTTTTTTTTGTTCCAGTTGTCTGGGGGAAATTGATATTTGCTATAGGCAACCAAATGAGTGGCTGTCTCCAAGCCTGGGTAGTTTATCTCTGTGCAATCCTTGCTTGAGATATGAAAATTTAACCCATGTATCAGGCTGACTCCAGTACAACCCAAGATGTGCATTTTGAAGCACGGACTTGGATGCATTTTTATGGAATATATGGGCTTAGCTTACATGTGTCAGTTACTTCTTAACTGTTGAGGAGAATTGTGTTTAGGTGATCAAAGTGTGCATTTTCATATACCTCCTAGCAAAGATTGCCTTAGGTTATCAATGGTGGATTTAGCATTTCTTACGCCTGTCTCATTTAAAAAGAATTACGCTTCCATGCAACATTTTTGTTAGGGCAACCGAATTTTCTCTACCCGCACCCACACCTTCAGAAGCAGATTTGAGTGGGAAAAGAATGTCCTTTTTTCCTAGTTCTCCAGTTGGAAGAAGCTCTGTCAATGGAGTTACACCACTGGATATATTTCTGTCAGTTCATCATCCATTTTAGAAACTCACTGTCCTGCCTGTGAGATTTAAACTGGAAGAAAGATATTCTGGTTTTCATATGGGAGAAACTAGATTTGTTTTACTTACTGCTGCGGTTTGAAGTTAATAAAATATTAAAATATCCATGTCTCTTATAAGGTTTTCTGAAGTGTTATTTATATTACAATCATGTACCACTAAGGATGGATGATGGTGCTATTTTATGTAGAGAGTGGTGGATTTAAATTCAAAAGTTAAGTTTTTCTTTCCTTTAAAAAAATCTAGTCTTATTTAAAACTTATATGGGATGTATAGATCATATGTGTCTTTCCTCATCTACAAAATAGTCCACGTTATCATATCCTTAAAGGCTACCTTCATAAATTTTTAAAACCAAATAGAATAGAAATATTACCACTTTTGAACATTGCAGGGGTCAATTTTAACGCTGCTCTGGGCTATTGAAATATAGTCAGAATAACTTCAAGCTAAACATTCTTGCCTTTGAATTGTTTAAAATGACTACTTTGTAAGATATGCAAAGAGTGGTTTCCAGCTGAGCAGCTTAGCAGCTCAACAGGTGATCCAGAAGAAGAAACTAGGGTGGGTTTTTTGCACATTGTCAAAAAGAAATGTTACCTAACTACTCAGAGTTGTGACTTAACTTATGTGTTTTTAGTGATATGACAAAAGATTGGAAAGCAGTCTTTGCTGCCGTGGGCTATGCAGGTATTTGTTTAGCAAATGGTAGCATGCATTTTCTTCTTAGGCAGAAATGCCATATAAACTATAGGAATGAAGGATAACTGAAATCTGATCTTCTAGAATTTCTTACAAAAAACTACATTTGAAAAGGCAAAGTTCCTTTTTTCAAAAAGAGTAAATGGGAAGTGGGTAGATTAGGGTGGTGGATTTGAGGGGTGGTTTGCACATGACTCTAAACCACCCTGTAAATATATTACACAGTGTAGAACAGGGGTCTCAAGCTTGTGGCCCGCGGGCCAAGTGCCGGCTGGGTGGGGCACGGGGGAGGGGCCCAGCGGCCTTCAGAGCGCTGGTGGTGCCCGGGCCGGCCTCTGGGAGCAACGCGGGATGAGCGACCGCAGTGGTGGAATACTTGATGCGGCCCAGCCTCACCCAGACTTTACTTCCAGCGGCCCCCAGGTAAGTTGAGTTTGAGACCCCTGGTGTAGAACTACCTATAGTGCAGATGATGGAAGTCACTGAGAGTTGCTCCCTCTCAATCCTTTAGCTAGTATCCAAGAATTCTTCACAGCCAAACCTGTCTTGTTTCCCATTCCCTGCTCTGATTGCTACACCTTTCTGCTTGCTGCCATTTTCATTGTCTGTTGGATTTAAAAGCTTCAGAAATGGGGTGCAGTTTTTTTCAGCAACTGAAAGTTGTGTAAGTGTGTTCATCTTTCTGTTCTTGTTTCTACAGGTGCACAAGTGCACACTTTCAGCTGTCTGATAAAAGTAGTCGTGCCTTGTCAATGGTCCTGTCAAGTTTCAGCAGCCAAAGGGAGCAAAGTGCAATAGGTACCATACAGGGAAATTGGCAAAACAAGACTGCATATAGGTTGATTTGTACATAGTTGCTAGTTGTGAATTGTTGAGATCTGTGCGCCATGTTTTATCAGTTCAGGGATTCCCTTTATCAGCTGAACCCAGGTTCTAGAATTATGGAAGAAGGAGAGGTTTTTCCCTTTATCTGCTTCCTCCCCATTGTGTCTAATTGCATATACTTTTGTCATCTTCCTTATTCAAGCTACAAAGTTCCAAATATTGTAACCTCTGTGTGGCATTCCTATACCTGCCTCACTGATCCCAGTAGGACTTCTACTGAATTGACACATATAGGATGGTGCTGTTAATTATGTTTAGTAATGATATTTGCAACTATTTTTGATTCAGAAACCAGTAGAATCCAACTGGCCCTGTGTGGAAGATCTGTTGAAGAGATCTGTCAATAGTCAAGTAAGTGTGAAGAATAGCAGGCAAGTTTTATTGGATTACAAGTAGACAAAATGTGAAATGTATTTTACTCACCAGATTGCTGTCTGAAATTTGGTTTCTTTAATTCAGGTTTATGAACATCCTTGATGATCTCTGAGTCAGATCTCTCTTTAGTTTCCTTCTTGTTAGTAGTCATACTGCTAAGTGGTTGTGTTTTGAAGATAAATTGTCAGATATGGTGTGTGTGTGTGGAGGGGGAGATAATTATCCTGTACGTGTTACTTGGCTCCTTTGACAAGATATATTCCGAATAAGAACAGGATGCTTAGAAATTGTAAGCTCTGTGCTGAATCTAAGGATATCAGGTTGAAAGACGTGATGGGGGAGATAGTCTATTGCATTGAAAATTCAGCTATATCCTCATCACAGCAGGAAGGTGACTTGCCTTGCTGAGCAATTTGTCTTACAGGCTTGAATCAAACTCTTACTGATAAGGTTGTAGCTTCTGAGCACTCATTTCATACCTTATCATTTTTCTTTCTACAGAGCTGTTAATGCAGTACTTTGCGGCCCAGAGGTCAAAACTGACCTCCTTTTTAAAAGTGCTTTTAAATATGCTGCACCTATTAATATGTTTTCTCTAAAATTATTCTTAGGATGCATGACACAAATCGTAATTTATGTAACATCAGCCATTACAAAATAATTCCTTTAATTTGTTTGTATGGCAGAAAGTAGCGAGTTTCAGGATGAAGCAGCAAGAGTAAACCAAATTATGGCTTTCCTTTTGACTTTGACTATTCAGTATTTTAGATCCAAACTCACCCACCTATGAATGTAAGGGCTCCTTCCATTTGTGGAAGGAAATGGATTCCAGTAGCAGCTTGCTTCTGCCAGAAGTGAGTAGAGTAGAGATTTCTTACACTTCTCTCTGCTGTTGCCAGTGCCGCCTCCTATGCTGTTTACTAGACCTCCAGTTCAATGGAATAGCATGGGATTTGGTGTTGGGGCTACAGGATATACTGAAGACAATTGCTGCTATTCTCCCTTTCTCCATCAGCTGAAAGCAAGTCTGAATCTATTGCAAAATGTTATAGTTGTACATTATCACAATTTTAGAATGAATTCTGTATTTTCCACACATATAGAAGCCTCACTGAAATGACTGAGACTTATTGCTGGTAAATGTGTACAAGACTGCAGTCTTAATATGACTTTGAAAGCTTCTGTAATTAGTGTGTCTAGGAAGTGGCATGCCTATAAGTAAACAAAGAAGCTAAAAATGGAAACAAATGTTGAAAATCTAGGTTTGGTTAAGAGAAAATTAATATTTTTCACTGAGTTGTGTTTATGTGATTGTTGTTGTGTTTCAGACTCAAACACATAATGCCAAAGTACTCTTTGAATAACATAAAATAAAATGTTTCTTGGAATGCCTAGTATTAAAAAGGATATTTAGTATGCCTAATATAAATATTGTGTTATACAATAAATACAATTTAGTGCAATTGGACAGTCTTTCTTGACTGAATTTTCAGTGGTTATAGTATTTTAACTATGTTATCTTGTTTTAAGTGTAAATCACAATTTTATTTATGAGAACAATATTGATGTTACATCAAGGGTATAATTGTTTGCTGGTGTTAGGTGGAATTGCTAGTTATTTTTGAGATGGTGATGATTATGCATCTATACTGCCCAAAAGCCGAAGTTCACTGGAAAGTTTATTACATCAGATGAAATTCAACAAAAATATAATAAAAATACAGTAACAAGCATAATAAAAATACAATACGAAAGTTAAAAGCTGAGCTTGCCTTAAAGGCAGCAATTGGAGGCAGGCTCCAGATCTTGACCATGCTATATGGGGAGTTTGTGGCTGGGGGAGGCCTTCCTTCAGGTATTGTAGCCCAGAACCATGTAAGGCTTTATCAGCACCTTGGATTGAGCTCAGAAGCATATAGACAGTCAATGTACATGGACCAGAATTGGTGTTGTGTTTCTACCTTCTGGTTTATTAGTGTTTGTGAGCTGCCCGCTTCATTTTCTCACATGCTTTGTTGGAAGACTTCCACAGTGTGCTAAACAATAATTTTCATTACATCTAAGCCAAGAACCTGTATTTTAAATTGTGACTAAAATATAACATGTTTCATGCTGTTATTATATTCACTATTTCATACATTGTAATTCATATTAGTATATTTTGTTTTTAAAATTTTATATTTCATTTTTAATATTTCTAATAAGAAAATGAAATGCCACCCTGAAACCATGAGGGAATACATCTGACAAGAGTTTTACTGCCCTTCCCTATATCGTATACAGTTATTAGAAAGAGATGTTTTGCACGAAATGTTATTTTCTCTGGTTTTTGCAAGGATTGTCTCCTCACTTTAGTAAGGCTGAGCTTCAGTAAAACTGAGATAAGCTGGGCCACATGGATAATTAAAAATATGAAAGTGTTAAATTTCAGAAGCAGAAACAACAGCCAGTAGTTCACGGTCAAAGCCAGGAAATGTTCAGTATCCAAGGCAGTAGAAGGTCAGGTGGCATCCACGTAGCAAAAAGAGTCATTCAGACCAAGAAATAAGCTCTGAAACTAGACTTTTCTAGGATCTGATAGACAGGAGGGGCCTTTGAGTTGGATGACTCAGTGTTCAAGCAGGGCTGTGTTTCAGCCTCTTCCCCATGCCTCTTCTTCAAGCATAGAAAAGCTAATTTCTGATTAGCTGACTGGAAATAAAATGCTTTCCCCAGCCTGAACCCCACAGAAAATAAGCAGTCAGATAAAGCTGTGACCAAAACTCATCCATTTACTCCTTTAGAGAGGAAAATATGGGCAATTCTTTGGAAGGCAGGAATCATCTAAAAAACTGCAATTCCTAGTTATAGCATGAGTAATTATGTTTTTACAATCTTTGCAGAAGATTGCTCATAAAAATATTGAAAAGATTTTGGTATTATATTTATTTAATGAGTTCTATAGGTAATATTTTTATTATAGCTGAAGCTATAATAAAACTAAGGTAAACATGTTAAAATAGTTCAAAAATAGGAAGGGCAATTGCAAATAGTTTTAATCAGTGAGATAAATATCAAGGCAGTTAAAAACATGGAAAAGGATTAATTATGCCATTTTAAACCTTTTGTTAAAAAGCAGCTCTGTTGGAACAAGATGACTCTATTCTGGATGTAACTGAAAAGGGGCAAAAGTTAGTACGTTCAGTTTCTGGGGTAAAACAAAGATCCTGGTAGTATTGTACAATTATGCCTTGGAACTGAATGCAAGCTGGCCCGATCCATGTATTTTACAGAGAAATAGAAGTCAATTCTATAACTTTATAGGCTATATTCCTTACTTTCTCTGTGACACATTCTTATGAATCAAGGTGGTCTATAGATATGCCACAGTTACTACACAGGCTCAGTTTTACTTCAATGTTTGTGTTTACAATGGAGCAATTACCTTTATCTTTAATTAGAGATAAGTTCATCAGCACTCAATATTTTCAGCATTTGACTCTCCCAAAGTATAGTGTGGCTTTCACATTAGCGTAGCTTAATGTGATGCAGCCTAGATTACTAGGAGGCTGATATGGAAGACTACCAATCACTTTTAAGACATTGTCTTAAAATTCCAGGGATGTGGAATTCCAGGGATGTGATTCCAGGGATGTGGAAACATTGATAGATATGCTACTTTACTATAATTTTTAGAGGGGGAGGGGGCAGGCAGAGCAAAAGGGATTCATTTATTTTTTGCATTCTGTCATCCGGATGTGATGCAGCTTCTGTTATGATTGGAGGCTTGTATAACCCAGAAGGCTGCAATATTTTAAATAGTTTTAAGAATATTTAAAACTATTTAAGAATATTAAGAATATAATAAAATATTTAACTATTTAATATCTAAGATGCTTGCAAATACTGATAATCTAACTCTGCCCATTTAACATTAAGTGTATGCAATTGCTGCTCCTATACTGTTTCAAGGATGTATTTTTCTTTCAATGTATGTTGTCCTTTTTATGTAAGGAAGTATGAAGTATAACTGTCCAACAGTTTGACTTAGTATCTATGATGCATGCACAAGTGCCATATCACAGAACGTTCACACAAGTGGGCTAGATCTGTTCCCTTATTCACAGTGGCCAAATTGTTCTTATACTGTGTGGGATTTTTTTTTTTTTTTTTGCTTTCAGTGGGACTTTGTTGACAGAAAGTCAACTTGGCAGAATACAGTACATAAACTGTGATATGCTTAGCAGCCTGCCTATCTTGGAGTTACATTCCAGATTGTATTTTATGGCCCCAGATTCAAGCACCTAAAAATGTAGATAGAATTTAGTAGATGACAATGCCAGTGCTTGTCAAGTTTTATTTTCTAGGTCACTGCTCATATTAATGGATTGGCTTGCTTCTGAACTAGAAATAACATTTATAGAGAAAATTATTTTCCGAATCTGAAATCCTTGTATGTATTTGATTTGTGCTCAAGGTAGTTTTTATTAAAATAAAAAAACTTGCTAAATAAAACAAAGCCTAACAGCACTTGAATATCTTTGTTTGTTAGACTGGAATATTAGAAGAACAGTTACGAATGCATCTTCAGTGCTGTTTGACATTAAGCCGTATATGGGATGTGAACCTCTCTACTGTCACCATATTGTGGGAATATTACAGCAAGAATCTGGTTAGTAAATATATCTATGAAAAGCAAGAGTTGTAATTGTTGTAAACCTGTCACCTTAAGGAAGTTTCACTTATAATCCAGTCCACCCTGTTTAGCAGTAGAATTGTTTATGGTCTTATTAGTAGAAAAAGCCCACTCAGATTTATTCATTCATCCATTCATTTAGTTGTCATACAAGAAGCTTTCAGGAACTTTCAGATATTTACATTTTAAAGGACCGAGTAGAAGCTTCTGTCCAAATATATGAAATTTCTTGCCTTGAGATATAGAGCTGCAACCTTCCAACAGGCAATTACCATCTGTCCAGGGACTGAGCCTCCAGTGTCTTTCCCCTCACCTCTGCAGCCACGGGGCAACTCATCATTGCAGAATTGTTTCTGACAAAAGGAGAAATCAAGATCTCAATAAATGTGGCTCAGACCAACAGATGTGACCAAGCGGATCTTTCCAGAGCAAGTGTTCTTGTTGACTGCTGTTCCTCAGGCATGAACAACAGTCTCTAGATTCATATTCCTGAGAACATAGGGTTGCAAAACCAGTACCCAGTGCTAACCAGAAATTGGTTGTGGGCAATTGATTATAAAACCATCATTGGTCAATCAAAATCTGAACTGTAGCTGTTTAAAGTGATTAATCTTTTATATGTCTTTCATAATTTCAGTTGCTATTTAATATTTCATTTTGTGAAATATATTTGTGTTTCAGAACAGTCCCTTTACTATTCCTTGGTTTGGCCTTAAAGATCTTGCCAGTATTAGTAAAACGCCTTTATCTCTGTTTGAGCTGGTAAAGAAAGTTTGCAGTGACATGCATAATCCTGATATGTATACATCCAGCAATAGTTACCATATTTTTCTTCGTATTTTGGCCCAAATACTGAAGAAGGCAGTGAAGGCCAATGGTATTCATTCTTGGAAGCAAATCAAAGGAAGGTATAGTGGCATTGACAAGTTTTTCACATATCATTGTGCATAAGGCAAACTCACTTTGCTTTGTCTAAGAAGCATATGTCTGTAGTGTGTGTATTCACAGCTTCTGAAATAATCCCCAAATGGGTATGGGCGGGTGGAGGATTAGTTTGTACTTTTACCAAAAAAAAGTGTAACTGTAAATCAGGCAACTGAATCAGAAATGTAGGACTTTTCTAAGCTTTTAATCTTGAATGCCAGTTCATGCAAATGGTAGCGTTTTGTAAGTATGAACAGAAAGCTTCTTTCTAATCTAGTAGAATATTTCCACAAATGGAAAATATAATCATTGTTGGTTACAACTTGTAGTAACTAATGAAAATCCTTTCCAGAGGCTTGTGTTAGTAGGGATGGGGAGGCTCCAGAAGATACGGTTACTCTAGCGTTCTTTATTAATGGGCCAGAGGTCATCAAGGGAAAGTGTGAATGTAAATTTGCTTTAAGAAAAGATTTGTTGTTTTGTTTTGTTTTTCGTATAATGCAGAATTTATTCCAAATTTCACCAGAAAAGGATGCGAGAGCTGACAGAAGTGGGGCTGCAAAATTGTTTATATCTTTTCCTCGTACTGGCAGATATAGCAGAAACAGAGGATGTTACTAGCCGCATGATGGAACTTTTGCATTTCCTCAGTCCTATTTCCACCAGCATTTCTCAGAGAGCTCTGATATGGAAAGGCTACTTTGCTTTTATTCTCATCTATGTTGAGAAGAGCATGGATATTGGTGTGTTAGCTGAGCAACTTTCAAACGCCTTCCATGAAAAGGCAAAGGAATTTCTGGTGGCAAGAAATGACCTCTTGCAGAAACAAAACCTCTGGATTTTACTTTCTACTTACATTGACGGTGTCCAAGAAGTTTTTGAGACCAGCTGCTACTTGAACCTTTCTGAAGAAAAGCTACTGAGTGATGGCTTTAGTATGTTGCTTCCAGGTTGTCGGGGAGCTGAACTTACAGCAGTGTTAAACTTCTTGCAGGATGTTCTGTTCAGACTGAGGTAAGGATTTATTTATGAATATTTTCTGAGTTCTTTTAGTGGTTTAAACTAAATGTGTTAAAGTCCTATGTGTTAAGGACTTTAACACATATGGTATATTATATGTAATTTATTATTTATTTCTTTAATTTATTGAAACATTAGAAATGCTTTTTTCTAGTAAATACCAGGGACATTGAGAAAGTTATCACTATCTGATAGACCTCTGGATAGTTTGCAGTAGATCTCCAGGGGTTTCTGCCCTTAAGGACAACAATGGATAAAAGAAGGGAAGTGTTTTTATTTTTTTTTCCAGTCCAAGGACTGAATCCAATTTTGCAGAAGCTCTTGGGAGCTGTATCCTAATAGTGATTAAGGAAGAAATGCTACATATTTTAGCTTAAAGTATTTACCACCAATGACTAAGGCTTTGGGGAGACAGTTCAGCCTTTTAGAATGATGAAAACATTGCACAAAAGGTGCAAACCACCAAATGCTGGGGGCAAAGATGGTGAGCACCTGGGAAAGTGGGTGTGGTCATCTGGGGGCATAGGTGGATTTGATCCCAAGGTATGCTGGATTGGCCCCTTGTCCTGAGCTTCAGCTCCCTTGGGATAAATCAATAGCGATAATGACAGCAAAACTGTGGCTTAGCTTGTGCTAACTCTTATCTCTTAGCATTTCTTTATCTGTAAAATAAGAGTACTAATTGGTTGCTTTAACCAGGTCTCTCTGTTCAGCTGTCCTGAACACTTGAGAGTACTGTGCTAGAATCCCTAATCTATGTTTTTAACCTTTTCAGCATTATTAATTTCAACAAAACAAAGTGAAATACAAACCAAGAAAAAAAGGAAAGAAACTGAAATTAATAAATACGAATGTATAAATATCCAAATAATAACATAAATTCAAATCTATCAGTTCTGCATAAGCTTCAACAAAGGCAGGCCAAATATTGTGTCTAGATGTCACAATAATTGGCCTGCCTTTGAAAGTATTGTTAAAGCTTTAATCTATTGAGATATAAAAGGTGAGTTTTTAATCTTTCCCTCACTATAGTATCAGTCTCTTAGCTGTAAAAGGAGTATCAAAAATCCATTTACATCAGATTTTTTAACTTCCAAAAAACTGTTAGTTTATTTTATCAAAGAGTTTTCTAATGCAAAGTTTATCAGTGCTCTAACTTCCACCCCAAAAGAGGCAACTAGTGGACATTGCCAAAATGTAATGATTTCCAGAAGCGTTCATGGTGTTACTCCTTCAGCAGTTGGTTGATGTCAATAACTCTTATTTCCAAACATTGTGACATCTAATAAACATGGAACAAAGGTTTTTGTTCAATAAGGCATAATCTATGGTCAATTGTAACTTTATATAGCAACTCTAAAGCAACAATCCACTGCTTGGACCAAATTGTGTAATGGGCAGGTCTCTCCCCACACGTCCCCTTCTCTAGCATACTTAGACAAAATCCTAGAAGCACAGTCTTTATCTGAGCTCTTCAGGTTACAAAATACCATAAATAAAAATAATGAGCTCCTTGAGATGTGGGAGTTGTGTCTGCCTCTGTGAAGTGTTGACTCCACACTGAAGCATCCCTTCCTTCCTCCATTTCAGAAATATTCTTAGTGCACTCTCAGGGTGGTTCCTACTGTTTGAGGGCTAGACAGTGGGGACATTGGACACTTAATAATAGGCCTGCTCAGCTTGCCTGGTGTGGTCAAAGAATTCTCATTAATTCTTTTCTCCCATGTGTTCTGAAATGTTTTCCTCCTTTTCCAAGCTGAGCTAGTTTTCACAATCTCCCTGTGTATCTCTACTTTGTAACCTTGTATCTGTCAAGTCATATGCCTACTTTCTGCCCACTTTGATGCTCTGCCTCTTTCTCTGAATCCGGAGAATCTGTTTGGGTAGCCTGTAACTTGGGAGAGCTTTCCCTCAAATTCAAAAAGGATGTTCAAATTCTCTGTTCTGTTTTCCATTAGACCCAATGCGTATTTATTATATGCATATAGGCATTGAGCATGGGTTGCTATAACTGGTCAGCCTCAATATGCATTTCTAATAAGTGCACACATCATGGGGCTGAAAAGGCTACAGGATCAAACTTGGATTCTAGGAGTTTTAAGTAATGCCACTCAGCCACCACAGGCAAATCATCTTTGGAACTTGAACCAGAAGAAAACAGAAACGCATCATCTTCACCCACTAATTAATCCAGTGTAAAAATCAAGTTGTCCATCAAAGTCAACCACTAAAATTCAATTTAGCATGAGAAAATGGATCAAATACTGATTGATGCATTAATGCCTGAGATACATCTTAAGCTGCCCTAACAGTAGGAGGAATCCTATCTGTTTGAATTTGACAGGAGCCTAACACTGTCCTCTTACTGCAGTATTTAGACATATGAATTCTAAAGGTGGCCATGGTGGAAAAGCTACACAGAAAATACCAAAATTTAGTATAGGTCAGCAAATAAGCCTGATAAATACAATAGAAGTTGTATCGTCTTCAAGGATACTCAGGGCAGAAAGGAACCTCAGAAGTAATTATGGAACGAAGAGTTTGGTTTTTGAAAATACCTGCCAGGTACTTATTAGTGAATTTCATGTAACAAATAAACAATGCTTGGTATAGTATTCCTTTTCAGTGTATTTAACCCTATCAGCTTAAATTTAAGGGTATTTGTCTATATCCTATGATATGTCATGAATCAGCTTGTTCAAATTTAGCTCAATCATTTGTGATATATCTCTAAGAATGAGTATTCCCAAGTAAGTGGGTACCATTGAAATTGGCTAAGAATATCACCAGTTGGACTTTGACCAGTAAATCAAGTAACCAAAAAAAGCATTTATCAACTATATCAAAGCAAAAATGGTCAGCTGAAGTTGGAAAATATGCATTAACAAATCAGCTGTATAAAGGGTAATTTTGAATTCTGAGCAGTTATGAACAAAACTGTGAATACTGGTGAGTTGCAGGTAGAACCCGCCTTGTGGGTGGGTTTGGGATGTAATTGATCATTATGCCATGAGCTCATCCACTGTAGATAACGGACCCTGCCTTCTGAGCCAGGACCCTGCCTTCTGAGCCACTAATTTCAGTCTGGCTCTGGTTGGTAGACCTCAGTGTTCTGTTAAGAAATAAAACAGAACCGAACAACAAGCCTGAAATCTGCCCACCCATGGTGTCAGATTAAAATAATACATGGTACAATAACTACAGAAGAATAAAAATATATTACCATAAAAAGAAAGATGTATATAAAGTAGAACAGACAAAATGCAAACAAAACCATTTCAATCTGGTAATGAAATAACTGAACCTTTCAGATTCCAGATGCATACCCTACCTTTTAACATAAAAGCATCCAAATTGCAAAACAACAACAAATTGCATGGCTTTGGATATATAAGCAATCAGCATGCATTATTTAAATTAATGAATTTAATTAATTTGATAGCCCTCCTTTGGGAGAAATTACTATTCAGTCCCACTCCCTGCTTTCTATTCTTTAACCAGTTAGTTTCATAAGATGGCCTCCTGTTTATTCCATGACTACTAAATTTACTCAGGAGTACAAGTATTTGGCAAGGGACTCCAAAACAACATATGAAGTGGTTTCATGTTTTTAAAAAGAAAGGGGAATGACATTTTTCAGGGCTCTGGACACATGCTTCTGGCATGATGACAGAAGCAGTATCTGGTTATCTGTATGTATACTTGCTATTAAGATGCAGTAGATGGGGAGAGATTTGTACTGCCTCTAACAGTTAGATTCTAACAGAATTCCCTTTAGTGGAGTTGGGTCCCATGTGTAGCTGTGCATTATCAGATGAATGTCATGTATGAATCCATACTGAAATGAGTGCTTCAGCAGTCTCTGATTCTTCTTATTTTTCCAGCAGTAAAATGCTTTCATGTTCTGCCTACATTTGCCATAAATAGCCAGCTAATAAAAGCTTGTGCAGGGGTTTAAGCAACATTTCACTCTGCCAGTTCCCTACCAGTAAGAGGGTGGTGACACTCTGCTTTCTGGATGTCCCATCCCTTGGGATGAAGTATCACTTCAAGAGTGAATAAACTATCATCTCTGTCTTTGAGCATCCAGAATGGCTGATCTTCTCCATCCTCGTATTTAGGAAGACTGTGGTGAAATGTGCCTCTGCCTCCTCAGGTGTGCTTCTTGGCTTCTCAGCTTGTATGTTTCCATGGGTCATGGGGCAGCTTGGAAATGCCAAGAAAAGTTTAAGCAGCCCTTCCTTACAGAGGCTAGAGGACACATTGTTCTGCTGAAGCATCCAAAGCCAGTTCACTTTATATAATTTTTCTGAATCACTTTTAAAAAATCTGTAAGGCTCACATTAAAATGTAAAATATGTTAAAGTATAATATACTATTAAAAGTTTGCTTGCTTCAGAACTTATATGTAGTTGCAGATGGAACATTTAATATATATTTACCTACACACACGTGCATGTGTGTGTTTTGTATTCTTGTGAACTTACAGCCTTATCTAAATTCATAGTTGGATTAAAAACAGTGCATAAAATGGAAGCATGAAATAGTGGTTAGTAGAAAAATGGGAGATTAGTGATTAAACACTCATTATTTTTGCCTGAATACAGCCCCACACTGCCTTTTCTTGCAATGAACATATTTCTGTCCACTAATTCACACTGGAGGCAGCTGTTCAATTTGAAACCAGAAACTACTTTAGGAAGGTTGGAAGACATCTTCCCCTGTCATCCTGCCACAAACTCCAATGAGGTAATTATTGATTGGTCACTGAAGAAACCTAAGGATTTGTGGGGGGAAGAGCAGTAGAACATATGCATTATGAACCGTGTGAAGAAACTGACCTGCATGTTTACTTTAAGTACTTTGTTACTGTCTGAATAGTTTGACTTCTGCTGTCAGTAGCTCGTAAATCCAAGGACAACTGATTTTTTTTCCCCAGGCTGTGTCTGAACAAAGATAAACTGTTTGACAAAGTGTAGGTGATTTATTAGGAG